CAATTTTGTATATTTTCTATTTTAATAAAAAAAATAAAAATAAGTTATCGGTGGGGATTTCGTGGTCACAGGTTTAATCTTTAATTGTATTTGAGATTATAATGTTGTTATTTGTCCGATAATGTCATAAAGATAACTATCGTCTGTCAGTCAAACTGTAATAACCAATTGGAATGTGTTTTTAAAGTTACAATGTGTTGGTTCAATCATAGATAATAAAAGAATGGATAGGTCATACAACCTTAATTAAAACATTATTTGAGGTTATAAAGTGCTTTTCATAAAAAGATTTATTATCAGTAATCTTTATTTATCATGTAGATCTGTAGTCATTCAACATTCAATATTTGGTGCGTTATAAAATAAATATTATGTAATTCATTTAATTTTTCAAAAGCAAAGGAAATAATTACACTATTACAGTATTAAAATGGTACATTATAAATTATGATTAATATAATACAATGTGTCAATATTATTTTACCAATACGAAAATACAATAGTAATTCAATAATAATAATATTCAACAAAGAAATGTGTATGTATCAATATAGTTCTTCAGGTTTTTGTACCCAAGTAAATATAAATGTCATTCATTTCTATACCTACTTTATTCATGTCTGAAATGTATTAGTTTAGTAAATTTTGTCCTCAAGGTTAATTTACCATTAGCTTTTTTTTGCTTCATGAAAAAATCTAGTTTTGTAATATATTTCACATATTTTTTTTACTAATTGGTCTCTGTGCGTATTAAAATTATCATTCAAATCAAAAACATTGATCAAGTTATTGTTTACACATGACATAATATTATCAAAAACTGAATATTTTTGTTATAAATTTCTTTTCACTTTCATTACGATAAAATTGCACATTTTTCGCTCATTCATGATTTCATTGATGTATCCTCTAAATACTTTTTCTGTTTCTATGCAAATAGTTTGGACATCTAGAATTCTAGACTAGGTTTCATGAGTGCGCCTCGATCCTTAATTTGTCCTAATTTACCTGCTTGAGTGTTTGTGATTAAATGCTTCTTAAATGTATTACACTCTACCAATCTATACTATTCCATAACCACAAATCCTGCTATGTATATAGATATATCTTCAATGTAGGAATTTAGTTTAATTAATCTTTGATGATAATCATGATCATTACTACCATTTTCTATTGATATCGTCTGTTGAATAATTCCAGTAGTAGTTAGTATTTTTGTTCTATTTAATATTGCACAGTTACCATGTTCAGATCCTATTAAGCATTATGAACGAGTAACCTTTTATATGCTGCTTGGAATTGCCGACATGTGGGATTATTATTATACCCACCCTTACCACGTATAGCACTGAAAAATGTTTCTAAATGATCTTGGCTCAACTTATAAGTAATTAGAAAATTCATGTGACCCTTTGCTTGCAGAAGTTCAAATAATTCCAATGAAGAATATTAACCCATTAATAAACCTCTAAATCCTGTTTTTCTTTTTGATGTAATAATTAGTGTTCCATCTAAGAACTTTAATTTTTGTATGTATTCTGAAAATAAATTGATGAATTCTTGATATTTTGTGAATGTGTTCTTTGTAATTGCATTATTATATGGGTTTTTTGAATATAAACTATTTAATATATCGCACTCCTAGAACAAGACTGTCACAACTCAAAATTTATAGTTTTGAGAAAAATCAATTTGAAGTTTGGACTTAAGATATTTTAATGAATTTTTTACTTATGCGTTTGAAATTTAACACTTAAATACTTACAACCATACTTTACAATATTAATTTTTCAAATATTTTGAAATTCACTCTTAAACCCAAAAATTTAGACTTGTGGCCATTTACAATTTTTTAAGTAAATGCAAGACTGCCATATTTTGAGATGCGACTATATGAGAATTTGGCGCAAAACGAAAAGCTATTCTATTTATAAATACAATAGAGTCATAATTCGTGTTGTGGCTGCACTATCACAAATTATAAAATGCAATACTGCCACAACTCTAAATATTGCTGTTTTGCACTCAACATATTACACGATAATTAGTTTTTATTCAGTGCAAGAACGCCACAAGTCGAAATAAGGCAGTCTTGAATTTTGACTTCAGTGATAATTTGGATAAATAAAAATAAGTATACTGCCATAAAGTAAATATGGCTCTCTTGCATTGAAAATTAACCAATATTTAAATAATTCAATACAGACACATCTCTATAGTGGCTAAATGAAAAATGATATTGAATGTGGCGTTCTTGCATTTAAAAGAGCTTATTTTTCTCTATCCAAAAGTAGTCATAACTCAAAATTCATGAATTTTGAGTTGTGGCAGTCTTGTTCTAGGAGTGCGATATCAAATGCATTGTTTATCATTTTACAGAATTGTGCTGTTGGACTACATCCTTTAAATTCGGGATCCTCATTACTTAGGTATATGTTAATGCATCCCTCACACTATCAGATAAAATCTGTGCTGCAAGCCTTACACTCATTTTTTCATTATGATAACAAATATGCCTTGCTGTTAATTTTGTAGCTGCTCTTAATCCTTCTAGTTTTTCTTTTTCATATAATTTTACTATATAGTCCCATTTTATTAAATCACCATTTCCATCAATAATTATTTTTTTGTCTCCAAAAGCATTTCTCACCAACTTTATCATGTGAGCGGCGTCATAGAATGTAAATATTTTTATTGCAGGATTTAGGATAAATGGAGTCATTATTGAAATTTGCACCTAATTCTGTACACATACTTGTATTTACAGTAGCTAGATCAAAAGTTATTGAACACAGATGAGCTCCAGTATCTGTTATCAATTCAATTGCTTTACTTAAAAGATTACTTCGTTCGGCTCCTGTCAGACCATCAATCAAAAAATAACCTATTGGTAACTTCCAATAGTCATTCATTCCAACTACCATAAATACCAATGCATTTTTTGCTATTGGTATATCATCTGCATCATAAATTGCTCCTGTACCTATATTAATATGACCATAAATATTTTGTTGTGGATCGATTTCAATTTGTCGTTTAACACACATCTCATCGATTACTAAATTACAGAACAAAGATTTGTTTGTAGCTTTAAGTTTAATGGTTTCAAATGCCTCAGAGGTGAAACCTGGCTTTCCATCTACAACTGTATACCAGGCCAGCGCCTTAAAGTGCGTGGATGAGGTAAAATGTTCCCAAATTCTTTCGGTACATATAAATATGCCCTCGGAGAATAAAACTGTAAAGTTACAGCAAATTCACGCAGTTCTTTGCAGAATGGTTTTTTTTCCAGCCAACGAGTCTGGCTGGAAATAAAACTGTAAAGTTACAGCAAATTCACGCAGTTCTTTGCAGAATGGTTTTTTTTCCAGCCAACGAGTCTTTTATTAATTTAGAAAGGACGTCAGATCTCATCGCCAAATAAAAATTACTTATTTAATATTTAGAAAAATGTATTTATGTAAACAATATTCACAATATATTCAACAATATAAGTTATAACACATTTACGCATGTAGACAATTTTTAAACACCAATATTATTTATGTTAATTAATTGGTATAATATCCATCAGTCAGTTCGATACGGAGTGAGCACAGCCTCCACTTATGTGCGAATAAGTATGTACGAGTCATATGTAAAAAATAAACATAAAAACATTTAATAATAAAATAAACATATATAACACATAAAACAAACATACACGAAAAACATTTTGATCAATTTTTGCACAAAAGCATATCCGTGGCTATTTTTTTAAACTATTTTTATAACAACTTATGAAGAACCTTGTATTTAATTTTCAAAATTTTTGAACAAGTAAACAAATCAGAAAGAACTTTTCTACTTTACCGGACACCCTTTTTTAGCAATTTTTTTTTGAAACTTATGTAGTTAAGTACGCTGAAAACAATGGTGAAGTCAGAATTTGGCGCGTGGGCTTAGTTTTGAAGTTATGGAAGTAAAAATACGTAAAAATCGCGAAATAGTGAACTTCATTAGGCCATAACTTCAAAACTAAATCCGTGCGCTAAATTCAAACTTCACCATCGTTTTCAGCGTACTTAACTACATAAGTTTCAAAAAAAAAAAAGCAATAAAAAGGATGCTCTTTAAAGTAGAAATATACCAATCAAAATATTTTGAAAAACAAAACAATTTAAACAAATAAAATAAACATGAAACATTTTAAGAATATAATAAAAAATTACCTCCAAGTCTACAGCTGCAACATCTGATATCATACACTTTTTTTAAGTTGATTAATTATATCGGATAGATTTTTGCATTTTTTTTTCGTTAAGACAATTACCATACTGGTAGTGCATTAAATTTTAATATTTTCCTCTCATTGCTAAATACATAGCTCATTGGAGAAAAATGTAGGCTGCATATTTGATGCCAATCTTTTATTTGCGTTTTTAAATTTAAATTATTTATCCATATTTCACGTTTTTCAGGATCTCTTGGAAACTTGAGTGGATTTAAAATGGTAATGATACTTTATTTTAAAAACGAACATTTCTTTTCCACTTACCGGTGAAAACTTAGATTTGGATTTTTAGTCGAGTTGGAGTGGCAAATTACGCATCGATGAACCATTCTTATGTATGACTAAATAATTAATTTTCGTAAAATCACAAGAAAAAACAAAAGTTTAAAAATTGAAATAATTAAATTTACATTAATAATAATATAATCCAGTGATAAGCAGATATCTCTTATTCATAGATAATATTTAAAGATGTTTGTAACATAACCTTAAAAAAGGCACGTTATCAGACGATAGTCTCTCTCTCTTGTAGCTCTCTCTTCCTCAAAATAGACCGCGGCACGCTGTGGAGTGAGTATAGGCATGTCCTATCCATTCAACAACTTCCATAATATTTAGTGTTATTAAAAGAACGTGCTACAAGGCATCCACCTTGTCCAACTAGTATAAGAGGTTTTATAATACTGGACCAGTATTAATGTCTATCTGATGGATCACAATTTCTACTTCATGTTTCTGGTGTACATGATGACGAACGATTTATGATTGTAAAATCGATGACTGGACTTCGTGCACTATCTATGTCAACGCGATGACATGCAGATGGTACTTTTAAAACAACACCACTTATTTTTGAGCAATTGTACAGCATACATGCAGAAATAGGAAACAATTCTCTAGTGGCGGGTGCGTTTATATTAATGACACGTATGACCGAAGAAGCATATACATCAGAGTCGTGTTCTATGTTCATTAGAGCTCCTGGCCATTAATCATATTTCCGACCATGTACATTTTTTTTTACCATGGCTAAATAACATTCTCTGTTTAGTTCTTATTCTGCTTTCAACTTTGGTTCATCATTCGGTGAATCGTCAAAACGTCGTTTGATAATTTTTGAACGTTTTTCTTCAAATTGTGAAGGGATATTTAAAAATTAAGCTGTTCCTTTTGCCTTGTTTATTGAGATTTCCAATCCATTATTTCTTATATTAATTATAGACGATATTAACCCTTTTAACATAAATGAAGCAGTATCTACTGTTTGATTTTTTGATTGTAAGGAACAATTTATTAAGTCGATTTGTGTTAATATCAGGTCCCAATTATCCAATAAAATAAATATTTTGGAGTTGAATAAACGGAGAAGACATTTAGCCTCTTCGATCGTGTCCACACTCAGAGATTTATCATTTGACATACATTGCAAAATATCATAAACTTGTGTAATATTTTGATTTATTGCAGAAACAGCTCGTTTTTTTGACGACCAACGTGAATCTGAATGGGATTTTAATGTGACTTTTAAAACGCTTGTTAATTTTTCCCACCGTGAAACGGAACTAGAAAAAAATTAAATACCTTTTGAACAGTTCCAAAAAATTAAATCATTGTGGGTTTCTGCTGCATGGACTACAATTATATTCAAGCTGTGTGCAGCATATGGAATAAATGTGGCTAACTCATTTTTTCTACATATTACTGCTTGCACACCATTATACATATTTTCCGGCCATATTTGCACCGTTATCATATCCTTGTGCTCGACAATTTTTTAGTTCTATTCCATATTCTTCTAATTTTTTTAATATTTCACTTACCAATCCAGTTTTCTCTCTTGATTGTATAAAATCGACAAAACTTTCTTCAATTGAAATCTCAGTATTATCAATTTGAACATATCTAATAATTTGCGACATTTGTTCTTTATGTGATATATCAGGTGTATAATCAAACATAATACCATAATATTTTGCCTCTTTTATACTTGTTATAATTTTATTTCTTATTGTTTGTCCTAGTAAAACGATGATTTCATTTTGAATTGTGGGTGAAAAATAACTAGTACAAAAATTTGATTGCTTAACTACTTGGACATATTGAGTTAGTATGGGAGAATAGTGACTAATAAGTTCTATTAACTGTAAAAAAATATCAGAGTTCAAATCACCAATTTTTTCAGTACTACCTCTAAGAGTCAAATTATTTTTTGAGCAAAAAAGTATAACATCAATTATAATTCTCAATATGTTACGCCATTTTTCTTTTTCTTTTTCAATAGACTTTTCAAATTCACAGTCTATTGTTACTCCCATATGTATTCTTTTTTCTAGTTCTTTCCAAGATATAAAATTATTTAAATGACCTTTTAGATTTTTCGTGATCTGAGATACATGGATTCAAATGCTGCCAGTCATCAAAACCATTATTTAAAAAGGACATGTTCTATTATCATTAGAAAATAATAAACATGGAAAACAAAATACAGAATTTTTCATTTCACTGTACATGAGCCACTGTCTTCTCACTCTCTCTCCGTTAGACAAATTTCTATAAAACCACTTTTTACTGAAGTGCTGACCTTTATCATCACTTAGTACATTTTTTGGTTCATAATGTTGTGGCCACTTTTCTACCAATAATGTTCTAATAGATGAAATAATTGGTGGCCAAGTTCCAGGGTCTTTAAAATTAATATTACAGTCAATATCTATTTGGTTATTTTCAATAAAATAATCCAAATTGTCAATTTATTCAAATTCTACTTCTGAAATGTTTAAATGGTTAGAAGATATACCAGATGGTTCTAGATCAGGTGGTGCAGATTCTACTTCTGAAATGATAAATGGTTAGACGATATATCAGATAGTTCCAGCTAAGGTGGCGCAACTACAACATTATTAGCATTAATGGTTTCAGAAATTAACCATTTATTAATATCTTTTGCTAATTTTTTACTTTCCTTTTCTTTTTTAAGTCTTTTTTTTTTCGCAAACCACGATCTTGATGGCTCTTTCGAAGACATTAAATTAGCCTAATTAATACAAAATAAAAATACGATTTTATAAGCAATTGATAATGAATAAATATTATTTTGAAAATTATATTTTTACAACCAACATGTAATATAATGAAATTAAAACTTTTTATTTTTAAACACATGGTATTATACTATTATTTAAATACGTAGGTATGTCCTACATTCTACGATTATATTAAATTCATAAATAAATAAATACTGAAAATAATAAATCACTTGAAAAAAAAGTGTGTATTTTGAAGTAAATATTTTTTACTAAAATTAAACTCTTCTTTAGATGGTTTATATTTTTTTTTTATCAAGAGTATACTACTATTTATTCTATACATGTGTTTGTTGTTTCCCTATTACCAGTAATGTAAATTGTATAATACAAATTGTATACTATTGTATTATACAAGCGTATTATACGTTGTGTATAAAAAAATAAAATACAAATGGTATATATAAAAAAAAAACAGTGATAAATGGTTGACCGATAATGCATGCGAATAAATGCGATGCATATTGTTTCAACTGATAACAGTGATAACCGCGACAACTGGTCCCCACAAACGCTGCAGTGCAGGAGTCCAGGGACTGGAACCTACAGTGTTTGTCGGTTCCGGTTCCGGTTCCGGTTATTAAATTAATTTGTCTAAGGGTTTCGGTTTCTTTCTGGTTTTCTAAAAAAATATAAGGGTTCTAGAACCGGTTAATACCGGTTCTGAAAAATACCGGTTATTTTCGGTTAATTCTGATTTCTGACTATTAAAGATTTATTAAAAAAAATAGTATAAAATAATTTAATTAATCTTGTTTAAATTGTAATTATTTCATGAAAATAGAAGGTATTATGAAGGAATAGTTAAAAAATAATTATAAAAATATATAATATTTATAAATATTAGCCTAGGATCTATAGGAAAATATGATAATAATGACTTTTATGGAGAGTGGATTGCATGCAAATTCAAAACTGAAGCACAAAATTCATCGTTTGCTCAAAAATTATTGTAGTATATGATTTCCAGAGAAAAGTTCATACTCAATAATACAGTTTTTGTTTCTGCTATCTTCTTGGACCTGCGATACAAAATAACATTAAACGAAGAACAGTGTTTAATTTCCATAGAACATTTAATAAAAGTTTGGATTCAGTTAAACAAATTGCAGAGTGATGATAATGATAATTATGATATAGACTTAAATAATCAAACTTCTATAGATGAACATTTTGATAACTCTGATTCGGACTCAACTAATGAAGTAGAGCAGTTCTTGAAGTCCAAGTCTACCGAGATAGAAACATTAGAAATAAATTCTTCACAAACATCTGTCATATTCACACAAATTGAAACTATACTAAAGAATTATAATATTCATCAAAAACGAATAAATTATAAAACTGATATACTCAAATTTTAAAAGTATGGAATATACTCATCCGGAATTGTATCAATTAGCTAGTGTTGTATTTTGTGTGCCTGCAACTCAAGTCAGTGTTGAAAGACTTTTCTCAGGTTTAAAATTTGTGCTGTCTCCATGTAGAACTAATATTAGCTCCAAACATTTGGAAGACCAGTTACTGATACGTACTAACAAACTTTTTGAAAAAAAAGAAAAACGACTACAGATGTAAGTTTATATTTTTATAATATACAAAATATTCAATATAATTTTTAATATTATGTTTTATGATCATTTTCACAGATCTGAATTGGAAACAAACACATCAATCATAATTATTTTGTATAAACCTAGGTTACAACTTAATACTTATATTAATATATTATGAACTACAATTAAGTAAATTAATTTAATTTTGTATAATTATAATTAATAATAATTAGGAACTCACAGTAGAACTGTTGTAGAAGTTACTCAAGTTCTTCCTTGAACGGACTAATATAAAATTACTAAATATTGAAATAGGAGTATCCCTCTAAATATGACGATTGACGGGAGTCTTTAAAATATAATACATTTAGAATCCTAATTTTAACTCTAACATGAAGCTAATATTTAATAATAATAATCGATTTTCAAAACTACTATGTTGATAATCGACGTGCGTGGTGAGATGGTGGTATAAACAGCAGTATAAATAATTATTAACACAAATAAAAAGACAATATTACCGGCTACTAACTGTTCTTAAAATATCACTCGGGGACCCGGCGTAATATTACGTAATATTATTACGACATATTATTCTTAAACACTTGTAAATAATAATTGTAATATTTGTATAATACACAATAATTACACTATAAAATAGTAAGTAGTCAGTAGTCACTATAGTGTATTTATAGTAGTAAAACTATTTTATGCATATTCTAGTAAAATGTAAATTAATAAAAATACCAATAACACCATATATATATATATACTTTATATTTTATTCTGGATTTCGCCCCACTTTTTCGTTGCGCCCCTGGCCTTTGTCAGTCTCGCCAAGCCCTAGCTGCAGCTCTGCATATACTAAGTAATATTTCGTAATTAATTCATAAAAATTAAATTTAAAAAAAAAATGTATATATTTATATTTTATTTTTTAGATCTTTTTCCTGTTTGAATACATTGTTAACACGCAATTCGACAAATTTAAATATAGTGCTAGATTTAGAATTAGCAGCTATTAATGCATTTACATCTGTATATCCTTCATGTCAAATAACTGTTCCACGTCTCCCAATGTCTGTGGCGTAAAATTCAACAAGAAGGTTTAAAGACAATATATTCAACAGATGTTGACTGTGCAGTTAATGCAAAAATGTTGGCAGCATTGGCTTTTGTACCGCTACACAATGTAGTAAAAGCATTTGAAGAACTTGTTGACTATTTACCTGAATCTATTTTGCCAGTAGTAGATTATTTTGAAGATAATTTTATCGGTATATTACAAACACATACACATAATGTATAATTTTTTACTAATTTTTGAAAATTTTAATTTTAAAGGGAGGCCTATGAGACGGACAAGACGAACGCCAAAATTTCAACCAAAATTGTGGAATCTCTACGAAGATTTGAACCATCGGAACATGGACTAGCTCGTAAAAATAATGGTTTAGAAGGATGGCATAATGGCTTTTAAAAGCAAGTTGGTGGTCATCATGTATCAATTTGGAAGATGTTTTTAGGTCTACAAAGAGAGGTCGGGCTAGCTTAATTAAAAGTGGCACACATTGAGGCTGGTAAAGAAGAAAAGCAGAAATTATAATGGAAAAGAACCACAGAAAATATAAAAACGAAGGTGAAAAACTATTCAAACCAAGACATAATACCACATTTAAAAAGTTTGGCATACAATATTGACATTTAAATTTTTAGCATTATATATTATTATATTTATATTATTTATATTGACTAAATTATTGAATGAATAATGTGGACTTATACATTTCACAAAGTAATTATTATATATATGGTCCTAGAACATCTCTTTTTATTTAAGTATTATTTTTATTATTAATTTATTATAATTATTATTATTATGTATATGGTCCTAGGATATATATTTTATTTAAGTTATTATTGACTAAATTATTGAATTATATAATATTTAATTTAAATTTATAAATTGCCGGTTAGGTTTTGTGGTTTCGCCAATATATCCATTATCCGATATATTCGTTCGCCGATACGTCCATTCGCCGAAATGGATTTAGCCGAAATGACCGGTTACCCACCAATATAGGTACCCATTATATTACTACTAACCATAGTTTTAACAATTACTATTTAATAAATATTAAACGTAAACATAATGTATTAACAAGTTTTAAAACAAAACTGCGCACCACCACACCAACTAATTAGGCTAAAATGCAAGTTTGTGTTTTGTGTAGGTATTTAGTTAGTTAGCTACCTTTTAAAATAATAAATACAAGATTGTTACAAAGCAGTTGAAAAATATTAAAAATACAAGGGTTCAATTTTTTTGTATAAGTATTTAAAGCTCAAATTTTAACAAAACTTATCAAATTTTAAAATTTTAATTATTTTGTAGTTAAAAATTTATAAAATATTCAAATTGTATAGCTAAGGATTGAAAAACATGGTTGAAAGTAAATCGGTTATAATATATAAATAAATTTACTAACAATAATATCATAAATTATACTTATAGTAATATAGCTGACTCGCTGACTGACTGTCTTCGTTCAGAATAGTTTTTCTTATTCAATGATGTAATATAATTTAATTTAAATTTAACACAATCTATTACAGTGAAAAACTTGATTTCTGCTTCCAGGACCATCTTTTATTGAGGAGTCAACGAATATGACCGAATCTTCCAATATACAGGACATAAACATGGTAAGTATAGTTTTTTTACACTACTAAAATTAAAAATTAAGAACATACAAAAATAAGAAGATAAAGTTTTTTTTAAATTTTTACTTCAATTTTAAAGCGAGTTATTTTATTTTAGGTGTTGGACACTGAAGTTGAAATAGTAGATATTTTGTAGGATAAAATCAGTATAAAAATTATGTTGATTAACTCTTCTAACTTTCTTTCCTTATATTTGTTTTTACAATAATTAATTTTTAATTACATTTTTAATATTCATATTCAACATATAATTCAAATTATCAAATACTTTAATTACGTCTATAAAAATGTAGGTTTATGGATATCTATGTTGTTACTTAAAATGTTTTAATATATAAATCACATATTTTTTTTAATTTACAGGAAAGCCCATAGAAAAATGATGCAGCTCTACTATCTAAAATGAGTTCATTCCAGAAATTATTAGCATGATAGTCGAGTGGGGCCCTTGTCAACCTGTATGCAACCAAATTTCTAAACTTAAACTAGTCAAAACACGATTACGAAGCAATATGGGAGAAAACCGTTTAGAAGATTTAATACGTATTACCTGTGAATCAGACATTTATGTAGGAATTAATGTTATTGACGATTTGCTTCAAACGTTGTAGTTTAATTAAGCACTCAAATCTTAACGAAACTATTTATAAAAATATAATTTAATATGTAATAAAGTCTATGCACAAGTCGCGGAAGATAACGCACACCACTGCCCATCCCGTCCACCTCACGCTTATCGTATATTGTTCTTGTAAATAAAATTATTATTATTATCAACGCCCATTATAAATTATATAATTTTTATTTATGAGTCAATCGGCGGATTGCACTCTTGACGGTTTCGGGTTTCTCTGTCACAGAAACGGCACCGGCAAATCCACCGTCCTCACAGAACCCGGGACCGCCTGTAATAATCGCCGACAGACACAGTAAAAGGGCCGCACGACGACAACCGAGCACCAGTCCTTTACTGATCTTTTAGCAGGACCCACCCTGGCAGACTTGCGCATTTAAGGTAGAAACTTTCACACCCGAATCTATCGGACGGTATTTATATCGGTCAATAGTGCAATAGTCAGAGTATTCCGGCATTGCACTGATCATATATCCGTCGCAGTTCATGGGGCAATAGTCGGAGTATTCTGGAATTGCACCGACTGTCATACCGTTCTGTAGATTCCAACCCCGGTCATGAGTACTTTTATTTCGAACCCCGACAGCCAGTATATTTTTCGTTTCATTATAAAATAAAGTATAAAATCCTTCAGTATGACATAAAACCTCGTAGTGTTCTTTCGTGTTATAAATTGCCTACAAATCATTCCAATCTGCTACAATAATAATATAAAAATGTTATCTTTTGTGCTAAAATTATTTATTTACTATTGTTGTTTGTAACGACACCTGTCTTATTTGTAATTAAATGAAGGGGGGGTGTGGGGGGCTTCGCCCCCTAGGGTTGGTTTGAAGTTTTTTAGGGGTAGGTGGTGTGTTACATTATTTTACCTAGTCTGCCAGACTGTTTTAAAATTACTTCGGCGCCACTGCTTGATGCTATTCAGAAACACCAACTAAATGATTTCTTCAGGTATTACTTCAACAGCTGGATCTCTAGACATCTTGGCTCTATTTTATCGGTTTTAAATTGTGTCCGAAGAACTAATAACTCATTAGAAGTTAGTCACTGCCTCTTAATGGTATCATAATGGCACATATTGGTATCCCTAAACCTTCACCTTGGTTATTACTTATTTGTTGGTAAATATACATTATATACTTCTTTGACAATTTTTATTTTTCGTATATTGTTTTATTTTTTAACCAAAGATAAACTACTAGCTTATTCACGTGGAAAAGTAAATGATTTTATAATGGCTGAAGATGGTGTGGATATAACTGAAGAACAACCAAGAAAGTGAAAAAACAAAATAAAAGAATTCGTGTTGCTACGCAGAGACTACAAAATCGTCGATTCAATGTTTTAGAATTTTTAAAATATATCAAACACTCTACGCCTTTATTTGACTTAGAAAACGACGAAGCTGGTACTTAAAACTTAACATTTTAGATTAAACAAATTTACCGAATGCAGTTTATTATCCATACAACTGATTCAATTTTTTTTTCTGTTGACAGTGAATATTGACGGACTAATGATTTTAGCATTAATATAATAAGTAATAACACGGCAATATGATTATGTATAAGTATAAATAGGCCCGTATTTACAAAAATTGCCGCCAGGGGCAACATACATTTTGCCGCCTCCCCCCTCCACCAAAAAAAAAAGAAAAAAATTACTTTATTGATATTACACAATATGTAGTAGTAAATAGGTACATTAATATAAAATAAAACTCAGGTATAAGTTATATAACTAATAACCAATATATTACTTAAAACAATTTTTAAAACATTCTTTAAAATAATATAACAACTTAAAAATAAAAATATTAAATTATAACTTCATAACTTTTTTAAACTTTTCTGCGAGATTGTTTTGATGCAAATGATTTAATAATATCAATGTAATCAATCATTTTGGTTATAGATGACTCTATGTTTAATATGGCTAAACTATTTAATCTTTCAGATGACATGGTTGATCTTAAATATGATTCAATTCTTCGTAGAGTAGAAAATGATCTTTCCGTTGAACAGTTAGAAGCAGGAGTACATAGAAACATTCGGAGAGCTACATAAACATAGAGAAAAATAGCTTCTATGTTTTTTTCTTTAATAAATTTACACATATTAATGATATTTGTTGGAGGGTTTATAATTGTTTTAAGCAAGCTCTGAAAATGAACACACTCGTTTTCAAATGTTTCATCCAAATCATTTTTGTATATTTTTCTTAATTTTTTTGCACCATCACCAACTTCTGATTTTTTTTGTTCACTAATATTTAAGAAAAATAAGTATTTAGATATTATATCATCATAAGAAATTTTTCTTTTTTTTAGTTCTTCTATTAAATTATCACAAATAATGTAAATGGTATTAATTTTGAAATTTTCGCGTCCGTTGAAAATAGCATCTGGATTCATCATTACGTTTCTTACGTTTTCTATTTTTGTGTTCATAGTCAGGAATTAAGTCATCATTGTCAAACATAGTTTTTGCCAACTTTTCATAATCATTAAACATTGATCGTAAAGTTTGAACATATTCAATTAACGAATTATACAAACTAACTACAGTGCTTATATCAATATCAACAGATTGTAACAGAAGATTAGTTTTGTTAAATGTATGTAAAATATCACAGCAAAATACAGTCATGTATGCTGTTTCTAATTTATTCATTTGTCTAATTAAACCTCTGGCTTCAGACCGTACAAATGGTTTTTCATAATCATCATTTATTAGTTCTTCTAATACTTGTTTTATAGAACTCCAGTTTTTTTTAAAACTGTGGCAAGCGTCTTCTCTTGCTGACCATCGCGTGGTGGATAAACTTTTTACAGTTGAGATAGAATATTGACTTAATTTATGCCATCGATGTGTGGATGAAGAAAAAAATACAAATATATTTTGAATAAAAAGAAAAAAATCATTTGCTTCTTTACAGCAATTCGCAGCACACAATCCAACTAAGTTCAAAGAATGCGCCGAACATGGTGCAAAATCAGCTAATGGCGAAACTTGCTTTATTCTTGCTTGAACTCCTGAATAAATACCAGACATGTTTTTAGCATTGTCATAAGAT